GGGTGGAGACATTCTTCCTCGGTTTTCTGCCGTTCTTCATTTTCCCTGCAGTCAAAATGCCACCATCGGATCTTACTAAACCCTACTGGTATTCTTGTGCGATGCAGCAAAAATGGCGAGTACAGTCTGAGATATTATTCGTCTGTAAAGTATCTTTGTTATAAGCGATCGAACAGGGACTACTAACACCTTAAATTCACACAGTAACAACTGTATGCACAACTAGAGTACTTGTTTGTATGCAACCTCATGTAAAAAGCGGTGTTTCGTGTCACACACTTGTCCCATTTTGCCACACCTTTTTCATTTCAGCGCTGTTTTTTCCCTTATTGACGCAGTTGTCCCACTTGTCGTACACTCCTTCCATTTGTCCCAATGTTCTGAGTTAATGTATATATATATATATAATGGGGGCCAATGTCTTTCTGGAAATGCTGAAGCCGATGAATATGTGCTTTCTGTAAAGCATTTTTATTATCTACAAAAATCGTTTGTTAGTTAAATCCATGGTATGTGCAAAGTCATAATGGATGTAATACGGCCGAAGGCATATAGACAAATTCATACATTGGGGACAAGCGTGGGGGACGAGATGATTTTGTAACCCTATACCAGTAGCTAATTTCGTATTATTTAGTGAAACATTCTTCTTGCTGTAATACGATTTTAATATTTTTGATTTTCAGGCTACGCAGCGCGGGGATGTATGCGTTCATAGGATTCCCGATACTTATTTATATTCCTCTACTGATGGTCGTTGTATTGTGTCTACTTCTGATATTCTTCATTCTACAGCGACGTAGTGAGTAAATCATCCATATATACCCAGTGGTGGGAATCGAGGGGATTTGTACATGTTCGCGCAAACTCGTTCTTGGAATGTCTCGACTAGGGCTAAGCACTGGTGTTTCGAAATCGAAACGATTTTTTTCCCTACGAAATGAAATCGAAACGTTTGTCACAAGTAGTAAAACATGGCACCATTATTACACCATTGTCGACTATCATCCAATAATGGTCCATACCGTCTCACTTAGTCTTCTTTGGGTGTATTAAATTTGACAAGATATGTTAGTGTTGTTTTTTGATATTAATCTCGGGAGAACTCAATGTATTAATATTGCATAAGTGTGTCCCATAAATACAAATGAGTCAGCATTTATATCCCTGAGTAACGAGACGATGCAAAGTCTGGTTTGTGTAAACTACAAAACGCAATGAATTTCTCGTATTCTGAATATATCTGTTTGTAGGAAGCAAGATATTGACTCAAAAAAATCGGTCAGCAGCAATGCAGAAAGAAAGATCCGCTTTGATACAGCTAGGTCTGATTGCGTTCTCCTTTCTTCTTGGATATATTCCTTATTCAGGTAAGAATCATGTCTTAGATTCAAGCTTCAAGCCCGAACCTTACCCAGGGTTAGGGATTGTCTGTATTATCCAAGTGAATATACACCCTGCCAGTGGTGGGATTCAGCCGGTTCTATGACAAAAGTCATATTTTTCATCCGGTTCTTTAACAAAAAGTCATTGACAGTAACCAGTAATGCTAACCGGTTCGCTGATCTCATAAAATTCCGTGAGACGGTACTATAGAACCGGTGCGAACCGGCTGAATCCCACCACTGCACCCTGCCTATAGGTTTCACTCCCTTTACACAACTTAATGTAAAGTAGGCGAACAAAATTAGTTGCCTCCATATTGGTACACACACTTCTGGAGCGCCATAAATTGAGTAGGCAAAGCCGAATCGGAAAAATTCCGGTATTTCCAAATAACAGTAGCTTCTTACGTAACGTGAGATATCAGTGGCCGCTTGTACAAGGCCTTGTTCGGAGCGAAATGCGCGAGGAAGCGTGGCATGAAATAACCAGAAATTAACTGATGAACTGGTGACAATCGTTGATTTGCAATATGATTAGGAAGTCTTAACAGCTTTCCGATCCTCCAGGAATGAAGATGGGAAATTCTTATATTCGCTACCAAAGACTATAATCTGCTTTTTGTTTAATCTCTCATAAAGTTATCATGTTACATAAGAAACAACCGATTAGTATGAATGGCTATCAAAGAATTGTGGCGTTTTCTAGTATTAACAAACGCATTAATATACATATATACAGGGTGTTAAAAAGTAACGCAAAATTAACAGAGGTTAAGATGGAATGCTACTTAAAATATTTAACATTTCTTTTTAACAATATTGAATTACGGTGAAATGCCGTTTAAACATTTCACGACTGACGCTTTTTAACAGTTAGTTTTTTAAAGTTGCCATGACGAAAAAATTTACCTTAATTTTGCGTAACTTTTTTAACATCCTGTAAATATTTGATTCTATTCAGCCTATGGACTTCAATCGATTATCATTCGATCAAAAGGTGGAAAATTGACGGCGCATTTAGACTGGTTTCTTTCTCTTTTTTGTCACACACTTCTTCGATTCTCTGAATGTCTGAATCCTGTTTTTTACAACATTGCATCAAGGTAAACAATGTATATTGGAATAATTTTTGTTCGGAGGTACTTGGACGTTTTTTCTTGAGTTTGATATTTTGGGGTGCGTGATAGTATTTCCCTATGACTCCGCGCTTGCGGAGACTGTGCTTCCTTACCTGTTCGCTTCTAAGTCTCTAGTAAAACGAGTACAATCGGGTTGTGTTTTAGATTATTCAGTTAAAAACGACAACGGTAAACACGATAAAAAAGTTTCAGTAAATGTAAATAAGACAGTAAAAGACTCAACTAAGTTTGAGGCAAAAGCTTGTTGTTGCAGTTAAGATGCTTGTCGCGATAGTTCCCCACAGTCTCAATCTAGAAAACGCCCCCAAAATCGAAGCGCGTCACTCGACCAATCAACTGTCGACGCAATCCGGGCCTAGATGTCGCTATAATATCAATACTGAAGATTCTAACAACTATAGTACCTGCCCCACTTGTCGCCTTTTAGCCCAATTGTCTCACGATTGTAATTTCACTTCGTATACCCACTTTAATTAACAAGTTTGCGAAAAATGTGAGACAAGTATGGGGTGAGCGGAATAAGTGAGCTAAAAAGAGGTCAAGCTAATCTAGACTCCAAAAATCTTATATCTAAAACTTTCAAATTTTTTTCTCTGTAATAATATAATTAAGCTTATCGGTTTGAGGGTTACGTGTATATGTTATTGCACTGCTCGATTACATCATTATTTCTCTAGAAATTCCAATCGGTCTGAAAACCTGACCCAGCCAAGGGCTACCAATCTTCGTGATTTGGATATTCTGCTTTAAAACACATCAAACAAATAAAGCAATACATGAATAACACCAAATATTTGTTTGATTTTTTAGCAATATGAGAGAAGCGACAGCAAAGCTATTGATTGATGTTTTCGGATTGACTGATCGTAGAAATGGAAAAGTAGCAGCTGCTCCGACGCCTCACAAGTCTAAGATTACAACCATCACTGCAGATCAGCGCTAAGCAATCGTTTTGATAAAATATTCAAATGAATACACAGACTACAAGCTTTTTCTTATTTTTATTGGATACGAGGTTCACATACGAATCGTTCTGTCTAATTATTGTGGTGCAAAAATCGCAATTAGTGAGCTGGTTGATTTCAAATTTTCCCTACTTGAAGATTGTTGAAGCCGCCATAAGGCTATTGTTATTTATTTCAAATTTTCTCTATTAACGGATATTTCACCTAATGTTTTTGCTATTTTATTATAACTAACTCAAATAGAAACGATTTATTCCATCACTCTTAACGCGCCATTTTATTATCTTACAATTACAATGGTAAATAAAACTAATCTGATATAAGTTTCAATATTCTTATAAAAACTTAGTTTCGACTAACTGTGAGAAGTTTTCACTTGTTAAACTCAGTTAGCCATGAACTCTAAAAATTTCTACGCCCAAAGTTTTTTCCCAATCAGTTATGGGGAATCCACTACCCTATCGTTAAGTATACCATAGCTGCTGTTTTTCTGATTGTTTTGAAGCGAATGTTTACTAATGCGCAATCCCGCTCTTTAATTCTTTATAGATCAGTAGGTCTTGGTATTTGTCTGTCTGTCAGATGCACGCGATATCTCACGAAAGTGAGATTGGATCTGCTGCAGATTTTACATGTGCATTCATCATATCTCGGACCAGAAGCCTATTGATTTTGGGCAAATTATGTCGTATAATTAGCGAGTTATTGATTAATTAGTGATGGGGCACAAGGTGTCACTATGGAGTAGGAGCGCTGTTTTGGGGGATCCCCTAACTTTCGATCGATAAGTCTTCGGTCTCTGACCGATATTCTCGTTTTAGTGATTTTCCATATCTTTGCTCTGAATCATTCTCTTCAATCATTGAGTTCTGGTGACCTTGCTTTGAGCAAAAATCTCTACGAGAAATAATTGAAGCAGAATCAACGTCAGTAAATGTTTATTATCTTGACTAATATTTCATTTTAAAAGATTTAGAAGTTGACAGTTCATTACTGAAAGTAAAAAAAAAACATAGCAATGTTTATCATTAGGTATATTGATTCGACACAATGATTACAAATGACACTCGAATACATAACGAGGTCTTCAGTCCAAAATGACGAAGCTTGAAAATGCTGTTCAAATAAAATGGAGAAACGAATATTTTGGATTTTTACCGTATTCCTGTAATTTTTTATTGAAATAATTTATTGATTATTGGTTCATTTTAATATTAGATACCAAATTAAAGACCATTCATTTTTTGTAATGCAATATTTTAAATTTTCTTTTCGAAATTCCGACATCTGCCCTTTTGTTTTAAAATGCTCGTTTAATCCAAATACATATAACGAAGCATGGTATTGCATTGTATGTTTGTGTGAAATAAACTAGGTCAGATTTGGGATTATGCTAATGTAAGCAAAATCAATTAGAATAAAAAATAAAATGAAAATATAGTATAATCGATTACAATACATGGGCAATATCGATGAAATTAGCTGCTGTTGTGGCAGTTGCACATGGGTATACAAGGTATGAGGTTAGCATCATTGTCAACTGAAATTATTTGACATGCAGATACATACAACACATTTCACACATTCGTAAAAAAAAAATTAAAAAAAAAGGTTCACGATAAAGGGAAATGATTTAAAATTGAAGTTGGGGATTCAGAAATTTCAGTTTTGAAAATTTATTTTTTGAAATCACCGCTCGAGAAGAAATCGCCATATTTAAGATGATAATTTTCAACTCGTGTATGTTTAAGCTACTTCAAAGTAAAACCATAGATATTGGCGATTTAAATGTGATCATTTTTTCTAATTAAATATCTTATCTTCCCCATTTCTGAAGTTTGCTATGCTGTTTTTTTCAATTTTGTCGGAGTGTGTAATTGCGAATATGTCATATATGTTTGACAATTCTAATGCGTCTTTAATTAGCAACAGCCGCAACACCCTTCTTCGTTGGTTTCTGCTAACCTCCTATCTTCTTCTGCTTGCAAAATCTTTAATATGGCATCGCACAATTTGTATGACGACTTATTGAACTGTATGATGAATAAGACCGTGCTTGCGCGGGGCACAATGACCACGCACCAAATCCCTGCAACAGACATGCATACTGCAACGAATGATAATATTCCATATATCACTACAAATGGAAATATTTTGACTTCCAAGTCTGACCAGCATAAAAATAAACTTGTCCCGATCGTCACGACCTGATCATCTGAAAGCAGGCAGTGTGACGAATTCGGCTGATACGGACGATAATACAATATAAAATACGAGACACAACCTACTAATCCTAAAGAAACAACCAACACCAGCAAGACAACATCTCACGAAGTAACATGCTGCAATTTTTGATCCTGGGTTAATGCGCTTTAAAAATTTCTCCCAAGGTCCACAACACATAGTTCCAACTATCGGGTTATACGGTCGTTGTAACTTATCCATGACGAGAGATTCGTATACTTCAGCCATTAGGTCTAATTTTTCGGCAAGTTTGAAATCTTTTCCAGTAATAGCCTCTTGTGCTTTTTTCTCAATTTGTTTTGAGAGAACATTGGCACCGACCTGATTTCGGTTTCCAACACTACCACCTTGTTGTTGCGGGACCTGGTTTTCAACAACACCACCTTGTTGTTGCGGAACCCGATTTCCAACAACACCACCTTGTTGTTGCTGGACCCGATTTCCAACAGCACCATCTTGTTGTTGCTGGACCCGATTTCCAACAACACCATCTTGTTGTTGCTGGACCCGATTTCCAACAACACCACCTTGTTGTTGCGGGACCTGGTTTTCAACAACACCACCTTGTTGTTGCTGGACCCGATTTCCAACAGCACCATCTTGTTGTTGCTGGACCCGATTTCCAACAACACCATCTTGTTGTTGCTGGACCCGATTTCCAACAACACCATCTTGTTGTTGCTGGACCCGATTTCCAACAGCACCATCTTGTTGTTGCTGGACCCGATTTCCAACAGCACCATCTTGTTGTTGCTGGACCTGGTTTTCAACAACACCATCTTGTTGTTGCTGGACCCGATTTCCAACAGCACCATCTTGTTGTTGCTGGACCCGATTTTCAACAACACCATCTTGTTGTTGCGGGATCTGGTTTCCAACAACACCATCTTGTTGTTGCGGAACCTGGTTTTCAGAATTTACAGCTGGGGTGGCTAGAGCATTATCCACATGTATAGCCCTTATATTCTTGTTCCTCAAGCTATCATCAAGGCGCTTTATATCAGTTAATAGAGTAGTTACCGTTGATGAAAGCAACCATGTAGAAAAGCAGATATACAGAGCTATGGTCGGTCATTCCTAACGAAACTAAACCCGCGATGTTCAGAAATACACCTCTTTGGCGGTGGCAGAACTCGTTTGCCAAAGCAGCTTGTTCGCTAGTCAATGTTAGATTAGCCGATGGATATTTCGGGGCACACTGGATTGGTTTTGCAACGGATTCGATATATAGAATGAGCAAAGATGTGACCAACATGCCTCTCATATTGTATTTTATCACTTTTTCCCACCATGGTTTGAAGCGCGAATCGTCTATCCCGCCTGCTCCCACAATATCAGTAGGGTTAAAAGACATGTTTCTAGCAACGTCGCAGATTGAAGTACAACACAGAGCTTAAACAGCATAAAAGTGTGATGCACGCACGTATGCAACCAGATTTATAATGCATTTGGCCACGACGGAAGTCCTACGCATCATCTGATTTGTGAGTTATACCTTGCTATTCCACCATCTAGCTAAATATAACTACATACTAATTATGTTGTGTTATATCGTTCAAGCAAGATAGGCTTAAAATTTGTCGTCATTCTTAAAGTAAAGAAACTTTTTCAGAAATTCGCAATACGAGCTCCAACGGTCTTGCTTGTTTTTTATGCGACTTTTACTCGCTGCGAACACGTCCATGTCCAAGTAGCCATCGAATTACTTTAAAAAAATCAACCTGTTCCGGCATTACCTACCCAATTTATTACGGCCTGTGTGAGGTGAGGTCATGGGCCTTGAACCAAGGTGTTTAATCTTAGAACCCAGCACGGCTTCGTCTAACGCTTTATTCGCTGATCGCCGCCGTTTTGTCAAATAACGTTTTTACAGACTTCCCGTATAAAAATTTGACTTTCATTATCAACAATCCAAAGTCTGAAATCCCGACTGCGGCGATTTCACGATTACGGCTTCCGATCCGGAATACGAGTCTGATCCCGGTGAAAATGTCCCCCAACTCGGCGCTCCATGGTTGCGTTTCAAAAATAATTTAAAACCAGTGACGTTATATTATGTAGTCATAGTATTAGACAGCTTCATGTCATAATAGCTGTTTTTATTCAAGAGAAGGACGATTGCTGGCTTGATGCCCTCAACGTAATATACAATGTCCTATCGATTAAAGCGTTAGAAGCAACTGAGTTGGCATCGCGGATTACACATCACGGGGTTAAGTCCCGTGCCCTCTCTTCACCCAGGGTGTAATAAATTGGGTAGGCAATGTCGAACCGGAAATATTCAGGTTCTTTTCGGTGGCTGCTTGTGTAGGTTCTTGTTTGGAGCGAAAGAGATGAATAGCCGTCGTATATAAAATAATATAATGAATAATTATTATTTCCTTCCAAGTTTTTAACCAATATGTGTATTTATTTATCTGATATTGATTTTTTGCATAAATATCGGTTTGAACGAAACTGTCATGTATATTGATAAGTCGTTATCAAAATATTGAAAGCGAATTTGTCATCGAAAACAGCGAGGTGTCATTATTCACGCTTCCGCATTTAATCTATAACTTTGAAGCATGTTACTCAGATCAAGCCCATTCATTATTCATTATTCACGCTTCCGCATTTAATCTATACCTTTGGAGCATACTACTCAGATCAAGCCCAGGTACCTGAAGAAATAACCGTCTAACAAACTATTCCCAAATCTGAAACGGACTGGTAACCGAACGAGAGACCTTGCTACGCCATATGATTAAGCCATCTTATCGGCTTTGCTTTCCCTCGGATAAATATTAAAAAAAAAATATCATTCCATTCTAATAATGGCACCATCTGTGTATCAGGGGTCAATGCGTGTTTAAAAGCAGAGCCATCGCTTGTCATGATTTGACTTCACCCTGAGAACAGTGCCTCCCCCCATATAGCGGATGATCCCCGCACAATTTCAACTCCCGACCCCCTCTTCATTTCAAGATGTAACATCACGCTGTGATTCCTGACTCAAATATTTGTATCAAAACATCCAGAAAGTTGTCTATACAGCTGGCCAGTCAAAGACATAATAGATTTTATACATTACAAATAGTTTTATTGCTACTAACGAAATATCTACCACCCCCATAAATTTAGACCCTCCCTTCCTCCCCTTAAAGCTGCGGAACATACTGCTTTGGAGTTATGACATTGTTCGTATAAGTTCTTGAATTCTGTGTCACCAGACAAGGCGAGTGACGCCTTATTCGATTCTTGATTAAAGTTTCAGCCCCAGTAAATTTTAAACTTTGAAGTGGAGTCAAATCTTTGCGACTAAGTCAACTACAGCGTATATTTTAAATATCAAATTAAGAGCTTATATTGTGTAGGCAACGTTTACTTCGGTACCAAAATGGTTTATTTAAGGATTTGGCTGCGATATATAATCTCGATATTCTTCCAATACAACAATAAGATATGTAATGACTGCGTTTTGCATAAAATATAAAGTGTTTATGTCAATTTTTGATGTAGTAAGCTGAAAGGAACAGCAAATCATTTCGACGGATGAGTCACGCATGATCTTTTCATTTAAAATAGATACAGCAAAAATATCGGTCTAATAGGACTTGAATGTATTGACAGCATTCTGGCGGTTTTATCCATCCTTAGGTACTAATAATTTGAAATCGATTGGTATATTAGCTGTAACGAACACGTTTTTTTTCATAACGGTAATAAAATTAATAATGATAGCGAAAAGTCTTTCTGTTGAATAAACAATTGGTCTTCCTGAATTTTCTACTGAAACTCCCACGGAAACTTTGACACATTTAGATAAACCTCTTTTGAAACAGACTGCCATCATAACAGGAAACCCCACAGTTTTTGAAAATGTGTATAGAATACATATTTGGCAATTATATTTGGTCAAGTTTGATTTCACTGATGTGGCGACTGATATAATCAATTACAAATACTTGACAAAAGATAATTCCAATCCACTAATGATAACAAATAACATTCTTTCAAATGTAAATCAGCGATGACCCGCGTTTCGGCAGCGAAAAATGATATATCTACAGTGCATGGTTATTAAATAAAATTTGATGTCCAAAAATATAATTAGAAAGCTCAACTTTAAAAGTGACTCGAACAATACCGAATATTTTTTGATGTGGCTTTCTTTTACGTTTTTTTTTATATACCGTATATCTTATATTGACGTGATGGACTAGCACTTAAATTGTTAGACGTAACTCTGGTGACATCAGAACTGGATTACACATCTCCGAATGAAATGAACATCACCTTGGTGTAATAAAGGGTGTAATACATTAGGCAGGCAATGCTGAACCTGACAGCTTCCAGTCCTTTTGAAAACAATGTTAGATATCAATGACTGCTTATTCAAAGCCTTCTTCAGAACAAAAGTCGTGAATAACAGTCGTATAGAAGAGTTCAATTAATTACTTATTGATCTCGATCGATAAGTATGTTGATAGGCATTTTGTATCTGTTAGACACTTTCGTATGTTACGCGATATCTGACGAAATCTTCAAGTTTTGCATGTGCATTCATCATATCTCGGAACAGAAGCCTGTTGATTTCTATAGAATGTCTTATAATTAGCGAGTTATTAATTAATTACTGATGGGACACGCGGTATCGCTATTGAGCCAGAGCGGAGGATACACGCCGATAGATCGATAAGTCGGCGGTCTCCGATCGCTATTTCGTTTGTGCATCAGGTAAAATGCTCATATGAGACATGAAATGATCGCAATCTCCCTGTAACGTTTTTTAACCATTTCATCTTGTTATTATCTGAGCTCTTGTTGGGTCAGATTGATTGAAAATGACATATTTTTTAAACGATGTTTTTTACGACTCTGCTCCAAACAAGCCACTGTACAAGTTGTAAGTGTTCCAGAATTTTTGGCTACTTACGTGTGATGAAATAACGGAATGAAAAGTCCCACTATTAGGCGATTTGGCATTGTCGGTACTCCCGTAGTATGTGTACCAACCAGGTCAGGGTTAGGGCCTATATTCTAATTTCAATTATATTACGAGTTCGGGGACTGTCTGTGTTAGCCAAAAGGTTTTATTCCCTTTACACAACTTGATGTAAAGTAGGCAAACAAAATTAGTTACCTCCATATTAGTACACACATGTGAAACTCAAAACCTATAGTGCCAATACATGGAACTAAACCCGGGCGATGATCTAAGCCAGGTTTCGCAATTTCGATCGCGTGGGCACTTGGTGTTGCGTTTAGAACGAAATCTCACGCACATATTGGCTCCGATATCGTTGCTTTGCATCACGTCTAAGGTGTGTGGACACACTCTTAAAACAGAGAAGCAGTTTTTCTGTATGTCTCTTACAACTGGGATGTCAAAAAAGTTATATCTTTCTATAGTGGCTTCGACCATCTTTAAATGTTAAAATCGCCTGGACCAGTAGTTTTCGAGAAAATCGACATTTTACCTAGCAACAATAAAAGAAAAAACAGTTCAGAAAAAGATCCGTATGTAAATGTATTGTTCAACAATTAGAATTGCATTGAATTTGCAATATTATTTCGTTAAAAAAAATTGGCTTTATCGACTCTTGTTCTAACTAGTGATTAACTTACAGAAAAAAGACGAATATTAGGGATCCGAAACTGTAACAGTTTTCTGCGAAGAGTTCACATTCCTAAATCTGTTAATTACATGGTGTAAGGTCTCTTTAATAACAGATACGTCATCACCAAACAGGAAGAATGAAAGATAATATCTCACTTCTTATGTAAATATGAATTCATAATTGTCGGAAATTATACCGGTATTTAAGATATCTATGAAATTGTGGCCGATTAAAGATAATTATATGTTGCGTGCGAGATTATAGCACACGAACACTTCGGAGAAATGTGGTTTGAACTAGGGCTGTGGAGTCAGAGTCTGGCATTATTCACCGGATCCGGATTTTCATACTTGGCGTTATTTCAGACTTTCAATAATGATGAAACATGCCAAAATTTCTTGACATCGATTTGGGTGGACAGTTGAAAATGTATGACGTCATAATACAAACAAGAGAGCTATGCTCAAATATATGGACACGTAGCGCCACCCAATGGCAATGATTTTGATGACGTCATAGCGAAAAAAAAAGTTATAGCCTTCTAGAGAAAAAATTTATCTTTAACCACTGAAAATTTCAAAGCAATTGGTGCAGTATTCGAAGGGAAAAGCGATTTTTTAAAAATGATGGAGACAAATAATAACAATAACAACATAATATTGAAACGATCGTTATGTCCACTAAACGTGTCCAACAAGACGTAACAATGCTAATTTTTTGAGTTGAGTATTTTTCGAATTTGCCAGTGGGT